TAAGTGGTATGAAAATAGAAAGGGAAAGAGGAATAATGTATGGACAATCTGTTTTGAAGAAGGATAATGAAGGTCTGATGGCTATTTATTTGACATGCCACTGCAACATTGTCAGCATATGTGTTTGTTTTTATTATTAGAATTATCATTATTATTATTTAGACAATCAAACTGGAGCAGCAGTTACATCCAAAATAGTTTTCGAAAAAGCATTCGTGGACAATAATTTTGCACATCCTTATGAATTTATATTTTTTGGTTACATGAAAAAGAAGACGTGTTTTTCCTTTTTGTATCTTTGTTTGCTAACAGAGCTTGTGTGAATATGAAACAATGAGTATGTATATGCAAGCTGCACCATGAAGCAGACTACTGTAATGACAGGGGAGGGTTCCTTCCTTTACACATGTACTGTATACATTTATGAAAATAAAGTATTTTTTTCATATGGCCTTCCTCTTTTCTTTCAAGCAAGCATTTGTGACCTGCTGTGATTCATAAAACATAATCCCTGCACCAAAACACAGATTCAGTCGATGTGCACGCATAAATGATTTAGATGTAAGTTTTCCAGATCTATGTTTAATTAGCCTGAGTTAATTATTTTGAGGTGAAAAAGTTCCAGAGCTACTCGTACAAGGGTGAAAAGCTTTTCGCCTTGGTAAGCTGTTTTCCACGGTGAGGAATAAACATAGTAAAATGCTAACATATGCTAATTGGAGTGCTTGCATTTCCATTTGCCCGCAGAGAATAGTTGGGTTCATTAACTGAACAAACAGAACCTCCTCTCTCGAAATATCACTTTAATTAAGACCACGAACAGGAATACAAGGGAGGAAAGGGAAAGGATGGGGGTGGGGGGCTCTTAACTCCAAATGCCACACCTGAATCTGAGCAAGGGGGCCTGTGGCTTCTCTCTCTATGTATGCCCTTTTATTTCTTTCTTCTCTGGGAATTAGTTCACAGCATCAACAGATGGGAGCTGGCCACTGGCCAGAAATGAGTAGGGTAATTAGGTTGTCCTATGGCTCAGATTGAAAATAATGTCGTTAATAAGGAAACGGGTGTCCATAGAGAGCATGGAGGGGAGCAGAGTAACCTTCTCTGTAGTAAGGTGATCCACAGGGACAGTGAAAGGGGCAGCCATTTTTAGATCGGCTTGGCTCATTTTCAGGTTTTGATCCTTGAAATAAAGTGGAAGTTGGACATTGTTTTTTTCTTTTCTGTTTTAAACACGTTTAGAAACGCCAAATTCATACATATAAAATAGATCACATACATATCAGCTTCCTTTAAAGTCAGCAACTGGTGAAATTGTAGTGAAATGATAAAATATAAAATCTCAACGTTTCTTCTCTTACAGCATAGCAGGACTTGTAAGGCAGACATACTCGCTTCATTTCCACATCATGTAACCATTACTGTCGGTCGCACTGGGAGCTGTCCATTGTCATAGTGCTGAAACGGCTTTGTCCATTTGTGCCTCTAAATCCAACTGCAACGTTTCCTGTTGTCCACCAGAGGGCGCTTAGAGCACGGTGCAGCAGGCTGGATTTAATGCTTTCACAGCAGCCTCTCACATACATAAATCATGACCTCTTAAAATGTTTTGTTTTTAATTTTTAAGTAGTGATGAGAAAACAAAGTCATGAGGTGTAAATTATGCTCGTAAAATACAAATAAATTGCATACCCCTCCCCCCCTCTCTAATGTCAGTGGTAGGTTTAACCAAAAAAATACCAATAATGCAACAACATAACATAAGATGAAAAAGCTGTTACAACACTGTTGCAACAACCTTGCATTCATTAATGTAAAAAAAATGCTCTACTTAAATGAAGCAATTGAATGTTGCAGCTTGCTGTGGTGAAACGCTTTAAATACTGTTGATTACATTAATCTCTGTTTGTTTGTTTTTTTAGTTAACCACATCTTACTCTGCAAACTAACTACTACAGTTCCCCCAAAATATAAACACATAAACAAAGTAGTTGAGTAAAAAACACACAATTACACAAAGAAACATAGATGAAATGTGGTTTAAATACTCAAGTAAAGGACAAAAAAGGACAAGTGCCTCCGAAAACTACTTAGTAAACTGTAAGTTAAGTTATTTATATATTATAGATGTTTAAATTTGATTAATTTATGATCACAACGTTTTCACAGTAAATATACTGACCAGTTTTTTCACAGAATAATTCCCCGGTAGAGGGCATCATTGAGTAAAAATTATTTTAGTGATCCACTTATTTAAAACTCTTATCCATCCCAGGGAGAAGTGTTCCCCTCCAAACAAAACTTGTTGGACAGAAAATATAACAGAAAATATTATGTGGACACCGTGTAAAGTACAAACAAAACAAACAAGCAAAAACAAAAAACTGGTCGAATCTCAGTGGGAGTCATACTGTCTGTTGCATGGGCCCCCATTTTCTTGTGTCTCTGAAGCCCTTTATGACTCAGTCTGTTTGCTTAGGGTTGTTGTCATATGGGCAGATCAGATTCTTCACTAATAGTCTCATGCGTGATAACATCTGAGCCTATATTGCAAAGCCTAGTGCGTTCTTGGCAAAAAGCATAATGAAAAAGTAATTAAAAATAATTGTAATAAAATGTAATAAAACTTTGGCAGTCAAGGAGTACTACCACTACTACCACATATATTAGTGAGCCACCATTTCATGAGTAAGATGGCTCAGTGTACATTTTTAAACTTAATTTTCAATCTTTAAGATAATTAAATGAATGTAACAATCATTTCCATCAAATCTGACTTTTTATATCAAGTGTGCATGGATTTTTTAAATGTAAAGTTGTGGTTTCAGATAATAAAATGTTTTAAATAAAGCACTCCAAACCATGAAGTTACATAAAGTAGTGACTCAGACACATTCGCATTCTAGTGACCAGTGCTGTTTCCAAATTAGTTTCATCTTCAACAAATCTAAAATTATTTTGACCAAGATTATTTATTAGAAAAAGTCAGGTTTCACATTTTCAGAGGCATTTTCTAGCCAATCCTTATAGTGTATGTACAGAGGCAATGGCATTTTAAGCAGTGATTGATTAGAAAATAACACATGTTGAATTAACACAAAAAACTACAAAAAGTGAAGATTACAGTTGGGTGTGACCTGATTAAAGCATCCATAGATACAGGCCAGACTCACCTAGGCCACTTGTGGGACCAGAAATAATAGATAATCAGATAACTGAGGTTAGATTGTTAGAGGCTGTGATGATCACTGGCACTCCTTTTGGCTCTTTTAAACGCAGGGTTCCCCTCATCATGATGAACTGTCAGCTTAGGTCTTTAAGGGAAACTTGATGGATTCAAGGAGATTTATTGTCATTCGCATCACATGTTTACATGAGGTGGAACGAAATTATGTACACATGGTCCCGGAGCAAGAAGAAACAGTATTTTAAATTGTAAGTAAATTAATAGTTAAAAAAACAAAAACAAATACAATTACCAGTCGGGAGAATAGATATAGAAATGTAGGTATAAATATAGGTATAGATACTTTAGCAGCAAAAGGGCATAATGACCAGCATTGATAAAGTGACGTGTCAGTAAGTGTCTTATTGTAAACTGTGATGTAATCCAGTTGCAGTACAGAAGGTAAACCAAAATACCCTCTCTTCTGTGAACATGATGATCCATATAAAGTGGAAGTCCCCAGTGAGCTGTTTATTACATTTATCAATCCCATTCTCCTTTTGCCTTAAAACTATTGCACAAAAACACTTTTCCTTCTACAGGCTTCTCACAAGAGCAGTTATGAGTGTACTTTAATGAGCAGATAATAATTTTGTTGCAGCCCGGAAATACTTCCAGGCACTAAGTGTACTGAGTGTATCCTTGACTATCATAGAGCTCACACTAATTAGAACATTGCGTAACATATTTTTTTTCCATCAGTGATATCCGCCTGTGGATCGCAGCTTGTACTCTGGCTTGCAGAGTACAACAGTCAGACTGAAATCAGGAACATAACGGTGCATGATAACTGTGCAAACATTTCAAATACACAGCCAGTGGTGGGAGGTAAAAAGCTGATCTTAATTTGCCTTTTTGTCAAGAACTTTGACAAGACAGTAATCTAAAAGGAGACGAATTGCACGGTGAGAGATTTTGCTAAGGCAGCTGCAGTAAACTCTGACACATGCTCTCTATCTTTCTTTCTTTCTCTGCCAACTGTAAACATCCTTTGATTGAGAGTATCACTCTTTCCTGATTCCAACCAGTCAGATTTTGGCACTACTCTCTGCTGCTGTCAGCTGTCATTTAGGTGTCAGATCAAGGAGGGACGCACGTGTTTGTTTTAGTCCAAGACCTACTTCAACTTCACTACAATTTGGCTGCTATCTTGTAGAGACCAACTACATGCGGATTTCTTGACTGTTTCCATATTACAGGTAAAACAAAACAAAACATGTTTTAAACTTTTAAAAATTAATATAAAAGTAAATGGAAATAAAAGTCACAAACTACAAACTGTAAAATAGCATCTACCAGCACAGGTCATTTGCCAGCTTAGGGCAGACTGTAGCAGGCTGGTGTCAAGTAGTAACAGCGCCAACAGGCTTGTGTATAAAGGCACAGAAAGCTAAAAAAGGTTTATGTCTTTATTATACAATCATATACCTCAGTAATGTAGGAGCTGTTATATACAGCTGTTTTAAATCATCTAGTGGCATGTAAATAAAATAAAGACATGCCAACTTAAGGATAGTAGATTGTTTTATCCTCCATGATTTATTCCCTTGTTATAAAGACCTCAGACAATATTTGAAATTAATCCTTTATTATTACAAAACAAACAACTGTCTTTTGAATACATGCCCGATGAATGAGAGATGTTGTCAGGATAGAGCACACAGTGCTGCTCGTGCGCCTGTGTGTGTGTTTGGGGATGTCCTTCCATGCGTCAGTGCCTTGCGAAGCTGCAAAGCTGATTTCAGAGCTGAAGAATTCAATACACTATGTTTAGCGTGTATCGCACGGTGTCACTGTTGACCACTAGAGCACACTACCACACTACTCTTCTTCTCTGAAGTCATGACACACCCATTCGTAAAGGCAAAGGACTGGTTTCTTAAATGGGCGCTTATGATTATTTACACACAGAACCTTAATTCATTCTTGTCTATTGTTTTTCTGGATTTTTTTTTTTTTTTGCAAAGATACTCTGTGAAATCTTAAGAATCCCAGACATAAAAGGGCTTTTAGGATCTGGCTTATTTTTTTCCTGCAAAGGAAAGGATGAGATTTTGCATTGCCGTCTTTGTCTTGTGTGCAACATGGCCAGCCGCTTTGTCGGTGACACGGTACTCCATACCCGAGGAGAAGGAAAGGGGATCTGTTGTGGCTAATCTGGCTGCAGATCTGGGACTTGAGCCAGGAGGTTTGGCGCAACGAGAGGTAAAACTTGATATTTTTTCCAACAAAAAATACCTAGATTTTAACAAAAAGACGGGCGAACTGTACATCGTAGAAAAAATGGACAGGGAATATCTTTGTCCGGCGAAACCCGCGTCCTGCTTTTTAAAGCTCGATGTGATCATAGAAAGCCCCTTACGTATCTTCAACATCGAGCTTGGAATAACGGACATAAACGATAACGCTCCACATTTCCGACGGGACAGAGTAGAGCTCGACGTTTCAGAATCTGCAACGCCGGGCGAGAGGTTCTCCCTGCCCAACGGCGTGGATCCAGATGTTGGTATAAATACAATTAAAACGTACAAACTCAGTGTTAGCGAACACTTCACAATCGAAATTCAGACAGGTAGCGACGGAACTCAGTATGTAGACTTGGTGTTGACCAAATCGTTGGATAGAGAACAGACTGCTGTTCATAATTTAATACTAACTGCAGTGGATGGCGGTGTCCCGGTGCGCTCTGGCACTGCTAATATTATTGTAAGAGTACAGGACACAAACGATAATCCCCCACGGTTTGATAAGCAGACTTATACAATTAACATGACGGAAAACACCCCAATAGGGACCTTAGTGATGAAGCTAAACGCCTCGGACCTTGACGAGGGTTTGAATTCAGAGATTGTGTACTCATTTACCCTTTACACGTCGGAGAAAACACAAGAGGTGTTTTCACTGAATCATAACACTGGAGAGATAACTGTGAAAGGAACTATAGACTATGAAGATATGAAATTCTATGAGATGCACATAGAGGCCAGAGACAAAGGCACGCATCCCTTGCTTGGTCAGTGCAAAGTGGTCGTTAATGTGAAGGACATGAACGATAATTATCCGGAAATCATCATACAGTCTGTTAAAAACACAGTGGAGGAGAACGTAGCAGTAGGAAGTGTTATTGCACTTGTAGATATAAGTGATAGAGACACGGGGGATAACGGAAAAGTAAGCTTGACTATACATCGACCCATGCCCTTTACAATTAACACATCTTCAGATCGACCCATGCATTACAAGCTCATTGTGGCCGAGCCTTTAGATCGCGAAACAGTACCTGAATATGACATTACTCTAATTGTAACAGACGCAGGGATGCCACCTTTATCTGATAATGAAACAATAACTGTCCATCTGATGGATGTTAATGACAACGCGCCACAGTTCCCCCAGTCATTTTATACTATACGTGTCATGGAGAATAACGCACCTGGGGCCTTGCTCAGCTCACTCACTGCCTTTGACCC